TATTAAATTCGGTTTTGTTCGTGTTTTTTTCTCTCTGTCTGGGTGTGTGGGAAAAATCTTTGGACGGCTCATTGACCCACTTCCCGTCGACCTATCGAGCTGAAACTTGGCAAATAGACTTGGCAACACATTCTTTCGAATTTTTAGCCCCCAAACTCAACCCCTAAAAATCAGTTTTTCCTGTTTTTCAAGGGACAGATGAAGGAAATATGATGCAACCAATTTAGCCAAATAAAATTCCTAATTACCGCGCTAAATGAGATTCTTAAAAATATCGCAGGTGCGTTTGGTGCGTAATATTTTCTTTTTTTTTTCTGAAGTAGTTGGTGAAATAAATCTGCGCTGTAAAAGTATTTGTTCATTAGACTATTAATATAGTTCAGGGGCGTGTGAAAAATTTGCGGTTGCGAGCCGGGTGGGGGGGGGGGGAGAGAGCACTAATTGTGATTTTTAAAAGTGCGTATTTGGTGAAATAAATCTGCGCTGTAAAAGTATTTGTTCATTAGACTATTAATATAGTTCAGGGGCGTGTGAAAAATTTGCGGTTGCGAGCCGGGTGGGGGGGGGGGGAGAGAGCACTAATTGTGATTCTTAAAAGTGCGTCACTTGAATGTGTGTTTTGTCAAATTTTCCAGCCCCAACCTTCCACTGCTCAATATTAAATCACATAAAAGATTTAGACGAAAAACTATAGAGGTGGGTCTCAAATTTGTAAATCGGGGTTGCTAGGATAACCGATTTGCTTAAAAATCTGAAATAGTTTGCTTGTTTGTTTTATAAATATTATTATTATTTAATATTCAACAATGTTCTGACAATTCTTTTCATCTCTCAATATTTGTATTTCTAATATTCACAATGAACTCCTGAAATAAAAAAAACCCACTAGACGTATACTGCCAGATACATGACTAGAGCCACCCACATTCCATGCCCAATGTGTAGTTGCGGGGGGGGGGTGGCTTCCACCACTCAGGGGGGTTGGGGGCTCTACGCACCCAGGATCAGACAATGATTAATTCCTTTTCATAACAACAGCCTCTCTTCTCTGCCTCTGCTTAACTGCGACTATTAATTTTTCCAAGCATGCTATGACCTTTACGGTCTCTCTGGTTGACCCGACATCAAAGAGATGGTCATGGGATAAAATCGCTTTCAGTATAGGCGTCAGTAACCGCACTCTAAGGGATCCCGATCCTTTTTTTCAAGCGAGATCCTGGATAATTTGCCCCACCCACATACTGCTGTAGGGATGGATTAGGACTGGTTAAAACGGAGTTTTAAACTCGATGTGTCCGCCTCTGAAATAAACGTATCAAATATCAAGGATGATGGTTGTAAAATCCAGGCGTGACGTCAAATCCCGAGTCGTTTAGGCCTAAATGCCATTTCAAAAATGTATATTCTTAAACCAAATTTATTGCCCACAGCCCTAATCCACTTCCGACGATGGAAGGCTTAATACTGTTTGGCACAATGTTGTGTCCCCTGCTTTCAAAGACTCGTACTTTGTTGTGTCCCCTGCTTTCAAAGACTCGTACTTTGTTTAGTCCCCTGCTTTCAAAGACTCGAACTTTCTTGTGTCCCCTGCTTTCAAAGACTCGAACTTTTTTGTGTCCTCTGCTTTCAAAGACTCGAACTTTGTTGTGTCCTCTGCTTTCAAAGACTCGAACTTTGTTGTGTCCCCTGCTTTCAAAGACTCGTACTTTGTTTAGTCCCGAGCTTTCAAAGATTCGTACTTTGTTGTGTCCCCTGCTTTCAAAGACTCGTACTTTGTTTAGTCCCCTGCTTTCAAAGACTCGAACTTTGTTGTGTCCCCTGCTTTCAAAGACTCGAACTTTGTTGTGTCCCCTGCTTTCAAGACTCGAACTTTGTTGTGTCCCCTGCTTTCAAAGACGCGAACTTGGTGTGTCATTCAACCCTGGTTGTGATGATTGAACTCATGAAATTCTTAATGCGCATTCCAAGTCGCCCAACCCCCCCCCCCCAACAACCTTTCACATACTTTAGTAACATATAGCAAGTCATTACCCCAAACCCAGCCCAGCCAAAATCCTACGAGCATTGCAGCTAGAAGCTTTGGGAAACGTTATGACTATTCAATTTAACTGCGTCAAACAATGCAGTAACATTATTGAGCATTGACGGTCATAAAAAAATAATATTACACCATACAAGGGTCGCTGTGAGACAGGTGGGCGAGCCAGGTAACAGCAGGCCTGTTCTCAGCATACCTGGGTGTAACGGGATTACAATCCCTCACTAAAAATACTGTACACACCTTTTTTTTTAAAAATCCTATCCCTAGAGTTTCATACTTTCATTCGCTTCTGCTTTTCGTTTTTTTTAAACGCACCTCTTAATGTATAAGAGCGTATTCAATGGCTTTTCTATCAATTTCCTGATTGGAATATTCCCCAAAATGGCCCTATGTATCAACGTTCTTTAAAAAAAAAAACGTTTAGTCTTATGTATCTGACATTGAAGCTGAATAAATTTCATTATAAGACAGGGTTTGCGAGATGAAATTTTAGGGGCTACAAGAGAAAGGGGTTATAAGAACCGAACATCCAAAGTCTTTTAAGTTATTATTTGTTTTTTCACTAACATTTTGCTTGTTATAATAAGTCACAGGTTTATTCTCTAAGATCTACAGTTACTTTTATAAAATATGAAATAGATTTTTGTTCAAAATTTAACATGCAAGATTACTTTTGTATATCCATTTGCCCCCCCCCCCCAAAAAAAAATAATTAAAAACGGGTGGAAGGTGGGGGGTTGCGAGATTTGGTCAAACAATTGTTATGGGTCGAAACTTGGTCAAACCACTCATAGGGGTGTAAGACGTGGTCGAACAATTCGTAGCCGTGCAGAATATCGAAAAGTTAGGAAACCCTGCTTTGAGACAGAGCTCACCACAGGTGTGGCACGACACACTAGTGTGCCACACAGGAAATGCTTCAAGATTTGCCGCGGGACTTAATGATGTCATTGTGTTGGTGTTTGCATGGATGATTCTGATGTCATTGTGTTGGTGTTTGCGTGGATGATTCTGATGTCATTGTGTTGGTGTTTGCATGGATGATTCTGATGTCATTGTGTTGGTGTTTGCATGGATGATTCTGATGTCATTGTGTTGGTGCTTGCGTGGATGATTCTGATGTCATTGTGTTGGTGTTTGCATGGATGATTCTGATGTCATTGTGTTGGTGTTTGCATGGATGATTCTGATGTCATTGTGTTGGTGTTTGCATGGATGATTCTGATGTCATTGTGTTGGTGTTTGCATGGATGATTATGATGTCATTGTGTTGGTGTTTGCATGGATGATTCTGATGTCATTGTGTTGGTGTTTGCGTGGATGATTCTGATGGCATTGTGTTGGTGTTTGCGTGGATGATTCTGATGTCATTGTGTTGGTGTTTGCGTGGATGATTCTGATGTCATTGTGTTGGTGTTTGCGTGGATGATTCTGATGTCATTGTGTTGGTGTTTGCGTGGATGATTCTGATGTCATTGTGTTGGTGTTTGCGTGGAT